TGAGAGTGGATTTCATAGGACTTATGGATGTTGTGCATGAGGAGTTGGACCACCTATTCCAAATTGTCTACTCAGTTAGGATCCGCAACGGATGATTTCAAAGCCGCATTTAATTTCCCTTGCTTTCTTAAGATAGTTTTCTTCATTTGCACTAGTGTTTCCCTTTCCCCTATTTTTTGTACTATTATTTTTCATTCCATTGTTGTACCGTCGAAATGCCGACGATGAATTGTTTCGTGTACTGTACTTTAATTAAAAGCATATTTCTCTTTAATTACGCATTTCTCTATCTTTTAATGTTTTAGAAAATTTCCCTTAGCTTTATTTTAAGAAAAAGAAAAAAAAATCCATAAAAAATGATCATTCTGAGCTTCTGGTTGAAAATCTCGTTTTTTGCCTCATGGCGTTCGCCATAAGGTTAAAACTTGAGATTTCTGTCATTGAAGCACATGGCGCTCGCCATGTGCCTTATGGCGTTCGCCATGAAGCTCTGAAGACAGAACCTGCGCGAATTCAAATTTCCTGCGCGTTTTTCCCATAAAAACCTCCTTTAATCATTATTTTTCAACTTCCTAGAATCCCAACCACCTAATAACTTCTCATTAACTACTTTTAACCTCCAACCATTCATATTCTCCCTATCTCATCTATTTAAACCCTTAAACAATCCATTTTTTTATCATCATCACCATAACATCATCTTTCTATCTTTATCCATCGACTTCCAGAACTAGAATCTTCAACCAACTGCAACAATGCCTCCAAGAGTCGCTCCAGTGATTGACTACATGGGCATTGTCTTCCCTAAAGGAAGTATCAGAGAAACCCAACGAACCAACTTTCACAGACTCTACAAGAGGCCCGTTCTAGCAACGAGGTACCCCGACCCTGAGGTTGTGCATGCTTTAGGCCTTTTTGATAGCATCGCCTAGATGCTCAATAACTTAGGTATGCCTCAATTATACTCTATGACTAAAGCTACATCTGTTAGGTTGGCATATGAGTTCTTGAGTTTGCTCCGTTATCTTACCGACCATTCCCGTATTTCTGGCACCATTCATTTTAGGATGTTTAACGTAGGTTATTCCCTCAACAAGAGCAAGTAGGTGATATTTTTGGATTTCTTAGCGGTTAGGCGTTCTTCACTCAAGCACCCTTAGAGAATGAGTGGGAGGCTGATGCTTTTAACTTCTGGTATCAAATAACTAACACCCACACCACCATTTGGGAAGGCCTGAAGGCTACCATCATCCATAACCCAACCATTAGATACCTTTATCGTTTTCTATGTTCCATTATCTTTGGCCGAGAGAACACCAAAAACGTGAATTCCAAAGATTTATTCTTTATCCATTGTGCCCTATCCCAAACTAAAGTGAATTCGACACCATTTCTCTTAGCACACATGCTCTATGCTGGAAATAGAAACAATGGCCCTATTTGCATCGACGAAATTATAACTGCCATAGTTTGCTCATTAAACTTACATACTACGTTAGAGACTGTTGAGAGTATGCCTTTCCTTTTCTCTAATTTAGACTATTGTCGTTCTATGCGGCTTGTAAAGTTCTTTCCCAATGGCAAGTTTCATTTGATGGTTTGCACCAGAGAGGTTAGATGTGTCACATTGCCTTGCTCTGAGTGCATTAATGTGCGTGTTAGTACTAACTGGATATTTGATCTTAACGCACCCGATTTAGATGAGGAGAGAGCTGATAGGCATTATCACACTATCATAGGATGCACTACCCCACAGTCTGGGACTCGTCCTCGTGCTTCTGATGCATCAGGGCCTAGTACCCGCGCACACACTCCACCTTTTGTTATTGACCATTTTGCAGGTACATATCAGTCACCCCAAGAGTATGATTATGTTGCTATGAGGAGTGCCCTCAATGATATTTTTCAGAGATGAGATGATTACGTGCATCATGTTCCAAACCCCTTCAACAGAGGTGGTGGATGACACCGCGGCCGAGGCCACCATCATTAATCTCACACCAGGTTTATCCACTCGTTCTTTCACATTGTTCCAAAACATTGAGGACAATGTTTAGTTCAAGTGTGGGGGAAGAACTTTATTGATTTATGTCTTTATGTTTTTATGCTTTCTAGTTAGTTTGTTTCTTTATTTGTTTTGTTGTTTGTTTATCGAGTCATATGCACAATGATTCCATTTATACTTTACATTTTCGATATGTTTGGAAATTCCCTCAGTTTGACCCTAACTTTAAAAAAAAATTATTTTGACTCGATGGCATGACACTGCGAGTATAGGTTGTTTACCTTTGTTTTAGGATATGTTAGTCGGACTTGGGAAAGTTTTGTTAATATCGGTACCGTTCCTACACCCTAGATTCCCTAAATATGTGATATTTATTTAGATAGACATTATATCGAGACCTTATTCCTAGTTCTTTAGAAGTAGCCTCTTGATTAGTTTATAATAGCAATCAACACCATCTTTATGTACGAACTAAGTAATGAACTGATGCAAATATGTGTTGATCTAAAAAATGGAATTGTGTGATTTTTATAGAAAAAGCGAATGAAAGACAAGTTACCTCTAATTTAGGTGATCCTCACCCGGCCATTTAGCCTAAAGGTTCGGACTCTTGAAATTCGTAAACAAAAGAAAACATAATGTGCTAAAAAGAAAGAATTTTTGAAATAAGAGATCATATAACACTAACAAGTTCACTTACCATGTAAGTACAAAGGATAACGGGCTTAATGTGATTGCACGAGAATGAAAGAGAGGTGAATAAGAACAAAGTTTGTAGGTTAAGTTATAATATCGTGATTTGAATTGGTATTGCATAGGAAGGAAATCTTTGTCCGCTTTGATGGATTTGTGTTGGTACGGTATCCTTGTTTTCACTATTTAGTACCTATCCGTTTAGCATTAGCCTATCAACTCTGTGCGTTGATTATTTTTGTTGTGCCTACGAGTCAGGCGTTGCATTTACTATTTTATTTCTGTTAGGAGTTTGCTTGAGGACAAGCAAAAGTCTTAGTGTGGGGGAGTTTGATAGCATGATTTTGTATCGTATTTTTTGACTCACTTTGCATATTTTAGGTCTGAGTTTTTATCGAGTCTTTCGTATTTTTATGTGTTCTTACTCTGTTTTTATGTTGGCAGGTGTTCCCGTCGAGATTCTAGAAGAAATCGAGAAAATAAGTGAAAGAGTAGGAAAATCCAGCAAAAACCAACAATTCTGCCAGCCTTTTTGATATGGCACTCGCCACCACCAAATGGCACTCGCTATCTGCCCATAGAGACCATGACGCTCGCCATGGCCACCACGGCGATCGCCATTCAGTTCGCAGGAGCAGTTTCAACTACAGAAATCAGTTTTCGAGCAGTTCTTGGCGGTTATGTTTTCCCTCCAAGTTCTGATTTCGAATGGGGAGTTATTCAACTGCCTTTTTCTCTATAAATAGGCCCCTTTTAGGATGTTTCAAAGAGAACCAACCCGTGCGGAAGCGCTGCTGAACTATTTTTAGACTTTAAACCCGCATATTACCTTTCTAAAGCAACAATTACTCACATCGAGGAATTGTTGCATGATTGTGTCTGGCTCTCTTTACTATATTTGCTGAGCATTTGACTTATAAATTGTTCTTATCAAGAAAGCTACAATCCATTATATTGTTTCTTTGTGAAATAAATTCTACATCTTATTCACCTTTATTTCCTAAATTGTTGCTACAAGAATTTTCTTCATAACCATCAACATCCACATGATTCGCATATGCTTTACTTTCTCCATTTCCATGCATAAATTTTGGTGGACAACCATGCTTATTGTAACATGTTTCTATAATATGTCATATTCTTTCATAATAGGTGCATACTTTTCCACTTCCTCTGCCTCTACCTCTACCAAAAAATCTTGATCCTTCAATATCATTTGCTAAAGGTGTTAATACACATCGTAGCTTCCTCTCTTGTTGCTACACCATCGAAAAAAACCTTATTCATAAAAGCTATAAGTTCCATTAGCAAAATCTATAAAGCTACACTTTGAGACTAATCATTCAACCTTACTAGAAACTGAATTATCATGTCTTTCAATTTGAAAGATATGTTGTTCCTCATAACTGCATGTATACATAGATATAAACAACTAACTATAATGAGTCAGAGAACAATTTACTTAAATTTTTTTTATGATACTCTTAATTAAGTAAAATACCCAAATTTATTGCGGTTACCTTGTTTAAGATTCATAATTTCTTGTTTCAATTATGTTACTCAAATTCTATCACCTCTCATGTAACACTCTTTGAGATCATTTCAAACATCAATTGCATGTTTAATGAAGACGACACTCTCAGCAATCGATGGAGTAATTGAGTTGATTATCTAAGAATGCAAAAAATTCTCACATCACTCTCATGCCAAAAAATTCAAATCATTCTCTTTTGAAACTTCAACCGACCTATTTATAAATTTGAATTTGTTCTTCGCTGCTAAGGCTCTACACATCTTCAACGCCTAAACATGATAATTTCCTTTAGGAAGAGTTGGTATCACACAAACAATTATAAGATTTTCTGACGAATGAACATAATAAAAATCCAGCAATTGAGATAAATCATGATTTTGATTATGAAAACTACCTTTTTTCACCATGAATCCTCTAAAAAAAATTCAAATTGACGAAAGAAAAAAAAATTGATAAGAAAAACCATAATTAAGAAATTTGAGATTGAAAAATGCTTATTTCACACATGAGAGATAAACCAACATGAACCACTCTAATACCATTATAAACCATAAGTTATGCATTTTCATATAGTATATATCGAATAAACGACAACAGTCATACGATACGACGTTGCTAATCTCTGAGCCACGTGTCTACCGCGTGGCAAAAACGACAATACATCTGTTGCAAAACGCGGTCAGAAAAATAAAAACAGCAACAAAGGGTGAAGACAATGCGTTGAGTTGAAGAATCAAAGAAGCAAAGAAAGAAACACAGCAACAAAACATGATTTCTCAGTTCTTCGTCCTTTCCCAAAGAGGCGACAACATCGTCTTCCGCGACTGTCTCTGTTCATTCCCAATTTCATTTCTCACCATTCTCCATTTTTCATCATTCTCAAAACTCATCACTAATTTTCACTCCCTTGAATGCAGATCGTGGTGAAGTACAAAAGGGAAGCGCTGAAACGTTTTTCCGAAAAGTCAAGTTCTGGAAAGAGGACGCTGATGGTGATGCTCCACCTGTTTTTGTAGGTATTTTGTTTCATCATGTAGAATTGTTTCATCATGTTGAAATGATTTTAGTATTGAATTTAATTTTTACTGTTTTTTGTTGTTGTTTTGATAGAATGTAGATGGTGTGAACTACTTCCATGTCAAGGTTGCGGGGTTGTTGTTTGTTGCTACGACTAGAGTTAATGTTTCTCCTTCTGTTGTTTTGGAGCTTTTGCAAAGAACTGCAAGGGTTATTAAAGATTACCTTGGTGTTCTTAATGAGGATTCTTTTAGGAAGAATTTTGTGCTTGTCTATGAACTGCTTGATGAAATGATTGTAAGTATTTTCTGGGGGTATTGTTGTTCTTTGGTTGAATTGGGTTTTTAGTGGTTTGCATGTGAAAAATGTCTAGTTTTACTTATGTTAATTTGTTCTAGGATTTTGGTTATGTGCAAACGACGTCTACGGAGGTTTTGAAGTCGTATGTTTTCAATGAGCCGATTGTGATTGAGACTGCACAGATGCCACTTGGTCCCACTTCGATTTTTATGGTAACTTTTTGTAGAATCAAATGGTCGATCACTTGCTGCATGCGTCTAGTTGTTTGTCAAGCGTGGTTTTACTTACTTGTTGATGTTATGCTCTTGTATTTGCAGCACGGGAGCAAGCGAATGCCGGGTACAGCTATTACAAAATCTGTTGTTGCTAATGAACCTGGTGGGAGGAAGAGAGATGAGATCTTTGTTGATGTAATTGAGAAAATAAGTGTCACATTCAATTCTAGTGTGAGTTTGTCGTGCCATCTGTTATACTGTCTTTCTTTCCTTTTAATTGCTGCAAAATTTTGATGCTTTGTGATATGGATTGTATTGTTTAAAACAGGGATATATACTTACTAGTGAGATTGATGGCACCATTCAAATGAAGAGTTATCTTACTGGTAACCCAGAGATTCGACTTGCTCTCAATGAGGACTTGAGTATAGGAACAAGTGGTAGGTCAACTATTTTATATTTTTTTCCCCTTGAAAGTTGAAATCAGTAAAGCAATATGGATGGTTTTGTTACCATGCCTTTTTCTTGTTGTTTTCTGAAGTAATGTAAGACACTTTGTTGTAATTTTCTAATGTATGTTGAAATTCTTGACTCTGTTTATTTTAATTTAACGTAAAAGAATATTTTGAGTTGAGTTTAGTTGTCTGAAATGTTGGTTGATTCATCGATTTTTTGTATCCTTGTCAGTTTTTTGTATATCCTCCTGCTTTGTATTCTGATCTTATTTTATCATCTTTAACAGATTATAGAGGTTCTGGTGCTGTGATTTTAGATGATTGCAACTTTCATGAGTCTGTGCACCTTGATAGCTTTGATGTTGACCGAACTTTATCTTTGGTAAGTGCATATTATATAAGCTTAGCTATATAGCGGTATACAATAGTATATTATACTGAGGCCCCTTACTAATGAATGTGAAATTGTTTGGTAGGTACCACCAGATGGTGAATTTCCTGTCATGAATTATCGTATAACTCAAGCATTTAAGCCACCTTTTCGTATTAATACATTGATTGAGGAAACAGGACCACTCAAGGTTTTACCCTCCCTCTAGTTTTCTAAATCTTGTGTTTTTAGTCATTCTGACAATCTGCTATACTCTAATAGGCTGAAGTGACCATTAAAGTGCGGGCTGAATTCAACTCAAGCATCAATGCTAACACTGTTCTTGTACAAATGCCACTTCCTACATTTACAGCTCGGTATTTAAATTTTCTTTCTGATTATTGTACATATTATTTTAGTCATTGTTGATAGAAATGATTAGTATTTATCGTCAATGTCAATGCCGAGCTTTCTAAAAACCTGGTCGGTCTGTTTAATAAATGGCGAGGATTTAGATTTCTTTAGCCCAAATATTGGGAGGGTTGCCAAATAAGATGATCTTCATCCCACCTGCAATAATAAATAAAATTGACAACAAGAAATAGAAGAAAAAAATCACTGCATCAAATCAAATAATTTTGTGTTTTGATTATTCTTTTCGCAAAAGATTTGTGCATCCGCTGAATAGGAAATAAAAAGCCCTATTCTTGCCATTGGATTTGGTAGAATTGGTGGGTATCAAACAACACGAGAGATTATGAAAACAAAAAGACTTGTGAACTAAGAATGAAGTTCAAGTATGGCATATAAACACCACGGCAGTCAATTTTACCATTTTGACTTACGATACCTATGCCTTTTCAAACTAGAGCAAGTCAATCCTCATCATCTATAAAAACTTAACACCCAATACTAAGAGTCTCCTTCACAAATCTGAACTGAAAACATTTGACTTGCTGAATGGAAGGAGGAAAAAGGAGAGTGCTTGCTAATTCTGGCGGTGACACTATGACAGTCGACGACTCACCAGTGATATTCTGTGTGTGCCCGCTTTTGTGCCTCACCCCTGATTTTCTTTCGTGTGTGTTCAAAATAATCAACTTGCTGAATGGTGGTGGAAAACGGAGAGTGCCAGCTAGTACTGGCACTAACTACTTTGGCAGTACATGCTTCAGCAGTGATTTTCTGTAAGTATCAAAAACAATTTAGGGTACATAAGGGAATCAATGGCAGACTCATCCCTAACACTAAAGAGCTTAGCTAGTCATAATTTTAACAAAATATATTGAAAGAATTATAATAGTTACAGATAAGTCAGTGATGTGAAAGTTTCAGCCCTAAAATCCGTTGAATTATGCTCCCCATCGCTCCTAATGTGTTTGCTGCGCTCAAGAGCGTCTTTTGCTGTCCAAAATCTAAGAAAATTTGAATAACAAGGTTTCCTATTAAATAATCTTAAGTGGGCCTATGATGGGTTCTTATATGAATATATCAGCCTACGTGCTCAGGTTTAGGCGTACTTTCCTTTTGTCAAAAGTTGATTTTGCATACACACGCCTTGGTAAACGCATGAATGCTTAGTTGTGTTGTGAAGGCATCTGTACTAGACTAGATCTGGGGGTTCTAGATGCTTTTTACCAGAGTATGCAGGGCGTCTGTTTGCTAGGAGGGCGTCTGGATGCTTGTCATCAGGTTCTCCATACGCATATGGTAGCTTCTGTACGTGTGGCATAGGTGACCTTTGCTAGGAGGGCGTTTGGATACTTGTCATCTGGTTCTCCATGCGCATATGGTAGCTTCTGTACATGTATGGCGTAGGTGACTTTTGCCTGTGTACGCCCTATTGGGTGTCTGGATGCTTGGCCTAGGTGTTCACAAATTTTTCATACGTGTATGGAGGCTTCTATACGTCATGTGTATGGCCATTGGCCAGATTGGTTTTCTCGTCCTTCCGACCTTTGATTGCTGAGACCTACAAAATAGATCAAACCTTTCCAAAACGGTACATTACTAGAAAAATGTCATTTAATAATTTAAAACCTATATATGTGAATTTTCTTGAAAAACATAATTAATTATCAAAAACAATAAGTTATTATGAAATTAATGATAATACTTGGATAAAACTAGTAAAAATGATGACTAATCAACTCACCCTTGATTTTCTCTCGTGTTCAAAACATTCAACTTGCTGAATGGTGGGGTAAAAAAGAAGAGTGCTAGCTAGTACTGGCCCTAGTGCTACTATGATAATGTCTTACCCTTGATTGTGTATGCTCATGTGAGGGAGGCGAAAAAGGAGAGTATCTGCTAGTGCTGGCACTAACTCCACTATGGCAGTCAATGCTTCACTAGAGGTTTGGCATATTTGAGAGAGAAAGTGGGTGGGTGTGGGGCTAGAAAAAGTTGGGTGGTTGTTAGTGCTAGTGAGAGTGTTTTCTGGCACTATTGCTACCTCTTTGAGTAATTGTTCTTACATACTTCATCTTGTTGGCTAATTTATTTTCAATTTTTTAGTGTTAACTTCGAGTTAGAACCTGGAGCAGTTGGACACACAACTGATTTCAAGGAAGCAAATAAAAGACTGGAATGGGGAATAAAAAAGGTAATCTCGATACTTTGTTTTTCCATTAATAATCAATATATTTTAAACACTGACAATTTGATGTTAAAATAGAACCTTATGTTATACATTTGAGGCTGACATGATAATATCGGTTGTCCATTCTTTAACAGGTTGTTGGTGGATCTGAACATACTTTACGAGCAAAGCTGACGTTTTCGCAGGAATTACATGGTATATACAATGCTCCGACTGTTCTGTTTTGGCTAAATGTCTAGAGAGAGAGTTCTTTGAATGAATTAACATGGTTGTAACGAATACAGGAAATATCATGAAAGAAGCCGGGCCTCTTAGCATGACATTCACTATACCTATGTACAACTCTTCAAGGCTTCAGGTAAAATGCTGATCTTTCTGATAATCTAGTGCCATGATTATACTCATTATCTAGAAATTAAACCTGGCTTTGTTGGTAGGTGAAATACTTGCAGATAGCAAAGAAGTCGAAAAGTCATAATCCATATCGATGGGTTAGATATGTAACCCAAGCAAACTCATACGTTGCCCGGTTGTAATCCCGATATCTGCAAAATCTAAATTCTGAATGTTTTCCAAGTCATGGATGTTCATGTGTGCTGAATAATTCCAGGAAAATTACAGGCAGTGTTTTTACATTTTAGGAATGTGGAGACCAAAACGAGATGTTTTAAAGCTAAATTAATAATCTAATGTTTCTTTATTTGCAGGAATTGAAAACATATTTAACTTTAAAATTTCTGTTTATAACTTTTTCTAGAAATCCTAATGTCTGATTAATGCTAATATTTTAAAAAGAAACATTATAAAATCATATGGAATTCTAAGGAGAATCCGATTCTGTTTCCTAGTCTATAGTCAGAAAGGAAGAAGTGAGAGTAAAGCAAAAATTGGAATTCTAAGGAGAATCCGATTCTGTTTCCTAGTATATGAATGATTCTTAGGGGAGCGATTATAATAGAACAATGAATTCAGGCACAAAACATCAGCAAAAGTGGTGAATTAAGAATTTCTTTTTACTTTGGGGGCACATAAAGCGAATGTTCATTTTTTCTGTTTTTGTTTGAGTAATGATACGCATCGAATCTAACCCTACAGGAAATCTGTTAAAATTACTGGACACAGATGTCACATAAAGGTCCTGTTTTTTTTTTTTTTTCAAAAATGATTTTTATAGTAACATATTTTGATGTAAAAATTTTTTTATATTTTTTTTATTTATAAAAGTTTCAAATAAAAAATTGATTTGAATAGTTATATTTAGAATGTTATTTTAAGTATTTCATTATTTTATCGAAATTTTTTTATATATATCAAAATTTAAAAAAAATCACTTATTTTGAAGTTATTTTAAATAATTTTTTATAAAAATAATATTTGAGATATAACTTTTTGAAAAAATGTGTTTTATTCTGTTTTGATTTTTAATAATGTATATTTATGTTATAGTATGTTAGAATTAGTCTTTTAATTTATAAAAAATAAGTTGAAAAAATATATAATATTTTAAAATACGTTTTTTTAGAATTCATTTTCAAAAATACAATTTTTGTTTAAGTTAGAACAAATTTGTCCAAAGTGATTAGATTTCCGTATGAATAATGATGATTTATTGGGAACTTTTCTACTAGTACCATCTTTTTTAGAAAAGATTCTCCAATATACCATACCACCCATTTTAACTATATTTACTAAAGTACAATCTTTTCAAACAATTTTTTTCCTCATAAAGCACCTCCTTTAAAATTAATAATAGTTATATATTAACTAGTTTTTAAATTATAATAAAATAACTTAAATTTATTTATATGTACGTAATTATTTTAATTAAATAAATTTTTTATTATTTAAAAATAGAGCCGACTTTGTAAATGACAGTTGCTTTATATTTTTTATTATTTAAGTATAGGTTCGGAACTACAATAGATATTTTTATTATTTAAGTAAAGAGCTGACACTGTAATTGATAGTTGCTGTAATTTATTTATAATGGATTTACCAATTGTTTTGTCGGTATTATGTGACAAATCTGATATAAATAAAGGTGTGGTGTGATTCATTTTTTCACATCCCTTATCTGTTTCTTCTAATTTTTAACGTTGTTCAGTTGTTCTAACATGAATCGCCGCTACAAGGATGTTATTTATTCGAGCGTCAAGCCTTCGATGAAAATGTTTTTTTGTAACATCCAAAGTTTCGAGTAACTAAAGAGGAACTTGATGCGTTGGTTAGACGAAGAGATTAATGATGGTGAAAGAATTAGAAGTATTGAGAGACTTGTTTTGTACATTTCTATTGCGGAAGACAACAATGACATCCATCATATGTCGATGCGAGTTAAAGATGAATGTGATGCCATGGCTATGATGTCTGAAACTGATGATATTGTTTTGATTATTGTAATCTCTTAGAAATGTTGTGGTGTTAAGTGTTTTTATTTGTTATTTGTGTTGTTGTTTGAGATGGTAATTTGTTGTGTTAAGTGTTATTTGTCTTGTTATCTATTATTAAATGCGAAAGATTTTTGCATTAAAAAAAGTCATTAACGACGACATAAATACTTAATTAGCAATTGATGATAATTTGAAACTGATACTTCAACTAAAAAAACTTAATTATTATGTTAGACCTCTTATATGAAATGAGTATAAGAGGAAAGGGCAAAACTAATTATATTAGTTAGTAGAACTACTCATAGTTATAAGGAAGTTACATTATAGGAGTTATGAGGCAGTTACATCATAGTTATGAGACAGTAATTAATTAGTGTGTGTCGCACCTTGAAAAATACATCGAAAATACAACCCTCGTGCAAAAGACGCGGAAGAAATTTGTTCGACAGAGTTGCCACCGAACTTTATTTATCCCAAAAGAGGGAAAGGAAAATATCGAGAAAACCTTTAAAGAGATAAAAACATGGTCATCGCAACCACATTCTGGGTTTGGGAGTCGGTTATGTGAGAGGAAAGTATTAACACCCCCTTACGTCCGTTGTACTCAACGGGAATCTCTTAGTTCGCTTTGTGATGAATGTTAGCTAAGCTTATTTGTTTTCTTCTAAACGAGATAAAGCGAAAAGGTACGAGAAAGAGATTCGATGCTAAGGGAAAATGGGTGGTTTTAGATTAGGGTGCTCGGCAAGGATTGAGGCCCTTGTTCCTACGTATACTCATTCGGACGAGAATAAGCAATCAGAGCGCTCGTAGTCCGGACTACGGGAAAATGGTTTGGACGGAAACAACAGAAAAAAGAAAATGTAGCAGAAAGGTTGATGCAAAAGATTGAAAAGAAAGAAGGTAGCAAAAGGAGGAAAAAACAAAAGGTAGCTCGCCAAGATCATCACAATCTTGTGCCTACGTATCTTCATTCAGACGATAATGAAGAATCAGAGTGTTCGTAGTTAGTGGAACTACGACTGAGTTGGTTTGACTTAGAGGTGACAATTGTTTATACACGAGTAAGAGAACTCGCACCCAAACAATTGAGGAAAAAGATAGAAGACTCCATCCCCCTCCATTTCACCTTGAAAAGAGTTTCTATAGTTGTTATGTGTTTTTGAAGTTTGCTTGCGAAAATCCACTTGATGTTGGATCAAGGGTTTGTTTGCGTGCGAAGAGGTTGATTGCGAGGCAAAAGGCACTCGACTTAAAAGTTGATTTTGAAAATTCCACTTGACGTTGAATCAAGGGTTTGCAAAAAAGGTGTGAATCGATCCTAGTCCTTAGGGGTGCTCCTAGGAACGAAACTACGATGAAAGGTGCGAGTGTATGTGTTAGGTTGATAGCGATGCTAGCCAGCAATCAACTTACAAGGGTGTTTTGAAAAGTGGCTCGACGACGAATCGAGAATTAGTTTGAAAATGGTTTAGTCTGTCCTAGTCCCTAGAGGTGCTTCTAGTAAACAAACCACAATCAAAGAAAAGTGAGTAAAGTGCCTACATCGAAAAGGGAGTGGGATACATGTAAAGTACACGGGATTGTGAGAAATAAATGGTATCATTGTAAGGTAGCCCAAGAGGAAGCTGTGTGTGTAAGGTGTCCTAAACTAATCCACGAACAAGAGTTCATACTAAATCTCCTTACTAGGGTTTCTGCTCCATGTCTCAGAATAGTAACCAACAGTCCACCAATTGAATGTTTTTAGGGTTTCAATAGTTTTATAATATTTTTTGTATTTTTGAATAAGATGAACAGGAAAAGGGTTAGATGACAGGATATGACAATGATAATATGAACAAATAATAATATGACAGATAATGGTATGAACAAGATATACTGACGGAAAAGTAAAGCAAGAGTATATTAGACAGAAATTAAAGTTAGTGGTTAATTGTTAATTGTTAATTATCGTGATCAGACGAATTGATTTCGAATCGGGTCCACTTTAGTGCTAAGAAATCGTAGCACGATCTATGATGAAAATCATGCTATGGGAGGCCATTCAATCATGATATTTGTGCTAAAACACGATAAAGAAACGATATGTAAACCATTCTCAACGAATCGTGTAACACCCCCTTCTATACCCCCAAATAAGCATATGAAACATTTAGGCACATATCAAAACTTTCATCAGAGTAATATTAAATCATAGTATAAAAGGAACATGTAACACAAATTCACCATTTAAAACATATAACACCTGCTCAAATAGAGATATGCAACAGTGGGGTAGTTTTTAAATAAAGGAACTTCGTCCTTACACCCACATCTCAATATTTAAATTAAAGTGGAAGGGTAAAACATTGAATCACTTAAAACATGTTATCATATAAATACATGTCATCGAGTTTGGTTCACAATATCATTCATATTATACAAAAACATCATCAGCTGATGCATTCACAATGTATCACAAAAGAATGCTATACAACCTAACTACCCGGTGCTACATATCAGAGCGACCAGACCAAAAGAATGAAGCTATACTTCACAAAAAGAATCTCCAGCAACCTAATCTGCAATGCCTCATACAACATTATAAAACAGCAGAAGGGTGAGAAATATAACCATAATAATCAATGCATATAATTATATATATATATATATATATATATATATATATATATATATATATATATATATATATATATATATATATATATATATATATATATATATATATATATACACGCACACACACACACACACACACACACACACACATGAATAATGAATACAATATTCCACGTTTTCTCATCACATTTTATTATAATCCTCAAATACATCACAACATGTATAAACAAATATGGATAATCAATCAAGCACTTTTCATCATGCACACATCCATAATTCACAATTCAACAAACCATACACTTGCATAATTCATATAACAATGATATCTATGCCATGTGACTCTACACAACTCAATGCAATTCAATTCCATGTGGTACCAACACTTGTTATCATTTTTCGGTTTTTACATTAAATCGGGTCCGCTCTTCTAGACCGATAACCATCAAAAGCCCGTCCTCTAAGCTTTCAAACCCAATCTTCTAGGTTTGGGACAAGTCACTAGTCTCCACGAAACTAGTAAGCAT